TGGGGGGGGCAGGCTGCTCAGCATCCCACGGGCCCGTATCCCACCTGTGTTGATGCACCGTCGGCTCGCTGCCACGTCCGTCAAGTTGCTGTATTTTTCACCCTGACAGACGGCTGGGACCAGCACTGGGATGGTGGTGTTGTGCCTAAAACAACCAGCAGCTCTGGGCATACTGGGGGAGGGAGAAGCTGTGGAGGTGTTGTTGAGCCGCGGAGAGTTAGAGGGACGTATTAGAGACTCTATCGGGAGTTTGTTAGGACCTGATTCGCTGACTTGGCGCCACGGCAACAGCTGTTCCACCCTGCAGCTACACCTGTTTCTGCAGAAGAGAGGAAGAAGGATGGGTTGGAAACAGAAAAAGGGAAATGTTCTGCTCTCATACACTCAGAGAAATCGTCTTCATGACGGAGGTTCTATTTTTTTCCCGTGTCTTGGTAAAGTTAATTCCTGACACACTGAGCCTTGATGATTTGACATAAGGCTCCACTTCATTAACCCTCGAGAATTTTGTTCAAATAGATGCTCTCATCCCAACAGAGAATTTGAGACTTTTACTTAGTGGGTCCAAACTCCAAAAACGCTGGATGCTATACTTCCCATAATGCATCATTAGACCCTCCTTACCTTTTTAAACTGCCAAATCTTTCAGACGCATGTCCACCAGTATGTAACACTGTGTTTAAACAATGTGTTGTCCTAAACCCAGTCCCAGATAACCCTGGTGACATCCTCAATGTTATTTTCTCAGACTGTAGAAAGTCACAGAATACAGTATACAGCTGTTTTCACAGGAAGTATTCTTGTAAATTCAGTGGAGTGCCCCTTTAAACAGACCATTAAGCGACAGGGGAAAAGAGACAACAAAGCGTCCTCATAGGGGCATGAGGGTTATCTTCTCTTCTTTCCCAGCGTCATAGCCTCGGTCCGTGACCTCTGCCCTTGTTACCATAACAGCAAGTTAATGACACAGCAGACTGAACTGAGCCAAAATAACACGAACAACAGTTAACCAGTCGAGCTTTGTGTTTCAGAGAAGGTGCAGAAATAGAACGCACTGGTCTTAATATGTGGTGGGAGGAGTATTTGATTTGTAATTTTGTCAAAAAAAACTAAATGCACTTTTAACGTTTGTACTCAATTCAGTTTTTTCATTTAATTTTCTTTTTTTAAACAGTGTGTTTCACCTGTAACTGCAGAGGACCAACACCTCGATTGCCTCAGTGAAAGACTGAGATAGTAAGAGTCCCGAAAAATCTTCTTCTCATACTGATATCTGCTTTTTATTTGGCACTTACAGGTCTTTGTAAGCGGATTAATTGTGGTTTAGACAAGAACAGGCCAAAGATGGCAAAATAAATTAGGGAAGGTCAGTTTCATCACTTTATTGAGTTACAATAAAGTCCAACATTTTTATTTTAGCTCAACCATAAATTCACAACTTTTGGCTACAAAAACTGCAAAAACGTGCATCAAATCCTCCATCCTAAACCTGTAATGTATCCTTGTTTCCCAGGTTCTGTTAGGGAGTTTCCAGATTATAACCACATGCCAAACATGTTTGTTTATGGTGTTATAAACTTTGATGTAAGTGGCTCAGACAGAAATACCATCACTCAGAAGACCTTTTACTGCATTCCTCTGTGGGGAAATACCTGAGAGGGCTAATGTGTCACTTGTCCTCGCTGCACTGACTAACCACTCTGGAGATCATTAGTCGGGCTGAAGCCTCACTGGTTACTCCTCCATCAGTGTTTGAACAGCGGCTCCAAGTTATTTCTCAACACTGAGCTGGGGTCAGGGTCCATGGCCAGAGGAGAGAGTGGTGGCAGTTCAAAGGTTAAATCAACAGTTAATCATATACGGGGCAGGAAACTGCTGCTCTCTCCGTGAGCTGAAAGTTGACAATCAGCAGGTGTTTGTAAGAGCTGATCAATAATACTGTGACATAACTGCAGCAATAAAGATTCACACTGTGTGCCCTAAACCTCCAAGTAGTAGGTATAGCACTCCTCCAAGTCTGCACTCAATGACAACCTGGTGCATAGCCACAGTGTGGCAGTCCTTCATGCGTTATCTTCACAAGGCATCACACAGACCTTTTTTAAACATTATCTGATTATCCTTGCTGAGTAGAACCCCTTTTAGATCTGGGTCATGGACATAACAACTAGAACAGGATCACTTTACTGTACTGTTTTATTAGTTAACTTGATACTGAAATAAATGTTTAATTAACCGCTTTGGTTTATGACCAAATACCTGCAAAACTAACGACATCCCCACCAGCTTCAGCTGTACTTTAGTGCTAATTAGCTAATGTTAGCATGCTAAAGACAATACCTGTTAAATAAGAGCGTTACTACTACTCCAGTTTTACTTTTACCTCACCACAGAGGCTTAAGATCAGAAACAAACTTTGGACCTCGTTGTTTATCCGTCTTACTCTTTGGTTTTCATGACAGGCTTGTGTTGATCAGCTGGATTACATTTATTTCGCAGCTCTTTGTTGGTTACAAACATAACACAGGTCATTGATAAGATAAAGTCTGACTGATATCAGCTTTGCAGAGAAAGGTCTCATTGGAGGACAGGCTCTCTGTATGTAAAATAAATCCTCTACTGAATGCTTCAAAAAGTTCATCATTTGATAATGTCAATAAGGTGCAGCAATGCAGCAGTTATTCTTGTTGATTACTAGTAAAATAAAACATATTATAGTGTGAATAATCAACGGCACATTGTGGCCTGTGACATTTCCCATAATGCTTGTTGATGGAAGACTTTGTATTAACCAGGGAGCTTGTCATCCGTATTTCTGGCTTTCTTCTCATCCGTGTGCATTACTCTATTTTGAGATAACATTTCCAGCATCATTGCATTGTGTAAAAGCCACACTATCCTCCAGGACTTGTTTCTCTCCCCTCGCTGTGACAGAATGTGCTGCGATGCGGGTGTTATTTGTGTATCGCTGCCCTTCAGGTTTCTGTGCTTCCAGCCGAATATGTAAACATGTTGATCTTTGGTGTTTTGACGTATGGCTGAAACGCTGTTGGCAGTGAAAACCTGTGGCGGGATTAATGAATGAGCATGCGCAGGTGGCGTTAAGGAAGCAGCACGGAGACGTTCTCGAGGTGTGAAAGTAACACGATGATGTTCTAATTACATCAGGAGGAGAGCAGGTGGGAGCGCTGCTTCGCTCACACGTTCAGTTTCTGTAAACAGTCCTCCATTCAGTTACTGTCTTTCCTCGTCAGCCTCTTGTGTCTCTGTGCTCTCCATTCCCTCCACCTACAAACCATGATGTCCTTTTGCCCGTATGGATGTGCTCCATATTTATACACACAAAACAAACCAGGAAGGGCATACACCCGTCTAAGCATGCAAACACATCGTTCTTTCTGAGTTTCACTGGACTCCATCTTTTGTTCTCCAGAGAGACAGAAAGAGTTAGCCCCGAGGAGACAGCTGTCCCTCACAGAGACGACAGTATCAGAAAAGAAAAGACAACATGGAGACAATCTCTGAAGTACTTCTTCACTTAGAAATCCCATTTAATCTATTCTTCTAGTTCACTACATTTTTAAGGAACTAGTTATTTTGCAGATACAATTTTAAATGCCAAAAATGTGATCGCCTGATAAGATATTATGCATTTTAATAGATTAAACCCCATTAAGTCCAACATAATAGAAAGAAGACAGCAACAAATTAGTAATTTAATTACAGATGAATCTGTTGATTATTTTATTTATTTATTTATTTATTGTTCGTTCTATGACCTGCAAATACAATATTAAATGCAGAACTTTAACTTGTAATGAGAGTATGTTACAGTGCGGTTCTGCTACTTTCACTAAAGTAAAGGATGTGAACACTTCTCCCTGACTATGGAAATATGTACAGACGGGTCGAAGAGCAATTCTTTATCACTGAAACTGGTCTCCTAGCAAGCTTGTGGACAGAGCAGAGCACAGAGAGACACACCTTTATCACGTGAAAGGTTCTGTGTGTGTGCGTGTGCAGGAGTGCATGTGTGTAAACAAAGACGCTGCTGTGTGTGTGTTACTCTCTCCACCACCCTTTGCATACGCCTGTAGATGAGAGAGAGAGAGGGAGAGGGAGAGAGAGAGAGAGAGAGGGAAACTCCCTCCTACCTCCCAGTGCCTGTGATGTACAGTCCAAATATTTCCATAGGAAGCTCTCACACGGAAGTGAAGGAGGAAGTTGTACATAGAAGAGACAGAAAAGGGACAGAGAGATGAGGTTAAATGCTAATATTGACAAGGATGCTGTGTACATTAAAATGACACTGTATTGTAAATATCCTCTCATCACACACTGCTGGACAATTTGTGCCCTCCAGCAGAAACCTGGCTAGCACACTGGTCCGACCACGCCTGCTCTGTAAACACGACTGCGTTTTTGAACTTGCACAGCTTTTACATCTTGTATTTGAACGTGACACAGTGTAGTTGGAAAACAGCTTGAACTAACTTAAATCAATCAGACTGTGTTTGGTAAATCATCAACATATTCCAGTCTATCCTATTCATTATACACGTTTGTTTAACAATTTTATCTTCTGATTATTTTTTCCAATAAATCGATTTATTGCTTGGTTCATAGAATGTCAGAAATAAGTGGAGAAAACAAGCATCACAGTTTTACAAAGACCAGGCTGAGGTCTTCAAACTGTCTGTTTTGTTCGACTTAAACAAAACTAAAGAATATTCAAGTTACTATCATAAAGAAGTAAGAAACATAATGTGTGCTCAACACTGTTGTCTTTTTTAAAGATATTTTTTTTATTAGAAAGCATGTACACAGCAACAGTTCACATAATGATCCACGTTCCAACAAGGCAAAACAGGAAGGACAACCTCCTGAGCCTCTTAAAGTGTGTTTTAACTTTTTCTAACACGTCATCTTTTAACACAAATCTTTTGTCTGCTCCTCTTCCTCAGTCCTCATCCAGGAGCCGGTGGAGCGGGAGGACTTGGGAGGGAGAACCCTGAAGATCACAGACTTCGGTCTGGCCAGAGAGTGGCACCAGACCACCAAGATGAGCGCAGCGGGGACTTACGCCTGGATGGCCCCCGAGGTCATCAAGGTGTCGCTCTTCTCCAAGAGCAGCGACGTGTGGAGGTACCGCCCTCGTCTCTGTGTCTCACCTTCCTGATTCATACAGGGACAAACGTAGCAGGATATGTTTTACATTGTGTTTAGTGTTAAGAATCAGGCTTGAATTAAGAATATTAGTCTTTATTTTTGTTAATTACTGGTCAGAAGAGTTTTGTGATGATATTCTGTCCAGTTAAGTCAGATGTAATTATCAGTATGCATCAGTGGTCGAGGAAATATTTAGATCCTTTTCTTAAGTACAATTAAGAATACTGAAATATACAGTAAAACTTCAACTGAAATAAAATGATGTGAGCAAACTACAGTCAATGTATCAAAAGTTAAAATACTCATGATTCAGAGAAAATGCTCCCAAGTGACTGTTACTCTGTTACATATAATATATTACATATATACAGCGTATATTATATAATTGGATTAACACTACTGATGCATTAATGTGTAAGCAGCATTTTACTGTTTTACAGACTCTTCACATTTTAAATGCTCTTTGTCGTTTTAAACTTTAACAGTGCATCATATTTCATAAGCTCATTATTAGTTTTGTATTTAAAATATTTTAGTAATACGTTAGATGACTTATAACTCCAGCTGTCAGATGGATTTCGTGGAGTAAAAAGTACAATATGTCTCTTTTAATGCTATTTAAAGCTATTTTTATATTTAACAAAAAAAAAATAGTGCGAGGTTCAGTTACTGGAAACAGATGAAAGCTTTCTGTGGTCACTGTTAAGAGATGGAAGGATAGTTTTTGGCTTCAGCTGTGACATTAAAACGTAGAAATTAATAAAAACATAACATTTTCCTTTTGTTTCTCACGTCACAGTTTCGGTGTGTTGCTGTGGGAGCTGCTGACCGGCGAGGTTCCCTACCGGGAGATAGACGCACTGGCGGTCGCTTACGGCGTCGCCATGAACAAGCTAACTCTTCCCATCCCCTCAACGTGCCCTGAACCCTTCGCTCAGCTGCTGGAAGGTAGGCAGCCCGACCTCCTGCACACTTTGAGGGATCATAATATCCAAGAATGCAGAGTCAATACTGCCGTCCTGGTTGAGAAAGGGATAAACAAGCTTGACAGTTGTTTGTGTTTTGATTGTTTGTCTCTCTTGTCCCATTCATTCATGGTTGACAAGCAAACTTTCAGGAGCTTTATGTTTTGGGATTTTACTGTATGCCAGTCATCAAATATGACCTTAAATATGTCACTGATGCAGAAAGTCATTTTGAAAAAGGCCTCTCGGGTGTTTGCACCCACTGACTTTAGAGTGGTGAGACCTTACTCCACCTTTTGAGGTTTCAGCTTTAAAAAAAAAAAGAAAGTATTCTACATCTGGGAGCTGAGATGAACACGAAGAGTTAAAATGGACAATGCTTTTTATACATCCTCGGGCAGTCCTGCTCCCCTGGGCCGGATTTCTCCTTTTCACCTTGCAAATAATAATGGGGAGTATTAACCAGCTCTTGTTTCACAGTTCAGGTGATCTCTGTTTAAACACACCTGCCTTATATCCATCTGCCTTAACGTGCTTCTTCAAGCTATGCAAGCTACTTTTTAAATATTTTAAAAGGTTTTAGGTTTTTTAAAAGAGGTGTTTCAAACTGTCAGCCAACTTCCCCTCCCACTCTGCTCCTAAAGCTCTTTTCCTCCTCATTTCGCCTCTCACTGCGCTTCATCTTATCCATGTTCATCCGTTAATCTCTCCTTTGTCATCCCTCGCTGCTCCCTACACTCTGTTTACTCCTGTCATCATCTCACTTTCATCTCCTCTCCCTCCAACTTTTATCCCCACTCTCCTTATGCTAATGTGTTTTACCTGTTACATAAATGTTACCTGCTATAAACTATATTTTCAGGCCGTGAAACTGTTCGTAACACTCTGCTTGGCCTTTTGATGATGATCCCCCCCCCCCCCCCCATGACTCGTGTCTTTCAGTGGATGGTTATGGCTGTGGTTTAGTGTTGGAGAGGCAGCTCTGATCACTGTAGGTGTGCAGAGGGCTGGGCAGAGAGCGACAGACCAGGCGGGGAATCAGAAAGATGATTGATGATTTGACGGTTTTGGTGTTTTCATGCGATTTGTTGACAGTAAAAAAGAAAACGTATTAAAACACCAGCCTTATCCTTTAAGCAAGAGTGTCAGCTGAAACTCCCTTTAGCTGTAAAACTTGGTGTGCATCATTTTTCTGGATAGTATAACAGGATTCAAATTTTTGACAAAACAAATCTTTTGCTTATATGGAGGTTAAATATACTTATTGTTAATCACTTTAAAACAGCATCTGCCAAATGAATAAAATGTACAGCATCATATAGCCACTGCATACCATCTGAATAGGACGATAATACATATATTACTTGACTTTAACCTCAGTAATAACTTTACCTCTCGTCTCTAAACCCCTCAGAGTGCTGGAGCCCAAACCCCCGCAGCCGGCCCTCCTTCACCAACATCCTGAGTCGACTGCAGGCCATCGAGCAGTCGGCCATGTTTCAGATGCCTCTGGAGTCTTTTCACTCCTTACAAGAAGACTGGAGGCTTGAGATCCAGCAGATGTTTGACGAGCTCAGGGCCAAAGAGAAGGTGAGACATCTGAAAACGCAGATCGAGTCAAGTCTAATTTTAGAGAAATGTAAGTTTTAAAACAGGTTAAAATAATATACTGTATATCTGAGGATGTTTGCATGTTTCAATAGAGTTTATTCATTCAAACAGAAGAGTGTCTTCAGCAGAAAGTCACATATTATATTAAGGGTGGGAGGGATCTCACCACAGCGCTCTCTGATTATCAAATCTGTCTGAGGTGTTTCTGAAAATTACAATCACCTTAGCAACAAGCCTTTTGCCAAAAGAGGTGTTAGAGGAGGTGCTGCTGCGCTAACAACCTCTTCCTCTCAGCCTCAAACTCTCCTCTTCTCGTCTCCTTCTACCGTTCTTCTTCTAATCCTCGTTTCCTCTCCTCTTCATCATCTTGCTCTTCTCTCCTCAGGAGCTGAGGTCCTGGGAGGAGGCTTTGGCTCGAGCAGCCGAGGAGCAGAGGGAGCAGGAGGAGCAGCTTAAGAGGAGGGAGCAGGAGCTGGCGGAGAGGGAGATCGACATCGTGGAGCGAGAGCTGAACATCATCATCCACCAGATGTACCAGGAGAAGCCCAGCGTGAAGAAGCGAAAAGGACATTTTAAGAAGAGCAGATTACTGAAGCTGGGCCGAGACAGCAACTGTATCAGTCTGCCCTCTGGTGGGTGGAAGAGGAAACTGCAGGCAGATTGCTCAGTTTGTTTTGATCTGATGAATGCAATGCAATAAACTGGCAAAGCTCCCAGTTAACATTGTTTTTTCCGTGTTGGAAATGTAATACAAACACAGCTCTTAGAGATAAAAACACCAATAATAAGTGAATCTACACTAACACACTGCCAAGTCAACTTCACTTCAGTCTCCTTTCATTTGAAGAGAGGAAAACCACACTCTCTCATCCAATGATTCCAATATTATATCAACATTACACACTTGTTTTTGAGGAAAGTGTGGTCAAGATGCTAAGCTACTATTAAATTATTGTAGCTTAGTGTGCGGTCATCCTTTCTTCAAAATAGCACCTAATGTATTCTCATTTAAACTGGAGATATTTCCCCCATTTTATCAGAGAACATTTTAGAAAAACGGTACTCTTTGTAAAGCTTCATAGTTTTACTTAAAAAACTAATTACTAAAACATTAATCGACAAATTGGAAAATTATACATTCCTTCAGTTTGTCAGCCAATTGATTAATGTACTTGTGTTTGTTTCAGCATGTGTTTGTGTTAGTTAGTACAGTATATGTTACAGCCCAGGCAGACTTCAGAATTCAGCAATTTACTGACAAAGTGAAGATTCATAAACCTGGTTCAGGGTCCAGGTTTAGGATTACAAGTTTAAGTTAAAATGGCTGGAAAGCAAAGGCATAATACTGACAATCCGACAGGCAATGAGTGGGAAAGGGCTGGATTCATAATGCAGCGGGGATGAGGGAAAGTGGAGACAGGTGAGCTGGTGGACGTGAGAGTCAGGTGACTGGGACAGGTGAGAGAGTCCAAGGGCATCGGATGTAGAAAGACAGGAGACTGAGGGGATGAAAGTGAGGATCAGGACGCCACTGTGTGACTTATAGCGGAGCTCATACTAGCCTGCACCTCGCTGGTAGGACATGTCTGCCAAGTGAAAACTGATTCATGTGATAACTCCCCTCTTCTCGCTCACCTGTAGGCTTTGAGCATAAGATCACAGTTCAGGCGTCTCCCAGTGTGGACAAGAGGAAGACTCAGGGAAGCGAGAGCACCACCCCGCCCGCCAGCCCGGGGGTCATGCCCCGGCTGAGAGCCATAAGACGTGAGTGAAAACAAACGGAAGTCAGGTAGCATCCTGTGTGAGAGAAAGTGAATCCGAGGTGAGAGAGTAACGATATATCTGACTGTCCTTCAGTGACGCCGAGCGACGGCAGTAAGACGTGGGGTCGCAGTGCTGTGTGTAAGAAGGAGGACCTGTCGACCAGCAAGAAGAAAGGACGCACCTGGGGACCGAGCTCCACCCTCCAGAAGGAGAGGGTGGGTGGGGAGGAAAAGTACGTGCACAATGTGTTTACATATCAGTGATGAACGAGTTCTACCTGATGACGCCAGTAAGACTTTATGGGGTGCAAAACCTTTACCTACTTGTATTGAAACAGGATTATTTTGGGTTACTGATGGAGATAGGATGAGTTTAGATCATGAGAGAAAGTCGACACAAACTCAAGAATAAAATATGAACACTGAAAGTAAAAAACAGACAAACAAATGTGAAATGTTTAGATGTTTGGATCTAGTTTGGTGATGCGACAGCAGGTTAGCAGCGTTTTCTAAAAGGAGGAGAAACACAATGTACCTGCAGAGACAAGAATTTGATGACGCGGATCATTTTCTGTTACAGTTGTCATAGACGAGACGAAACCGCCTTCTCTCATATGTTTCTGGACAGATTATTTCTCGTAACACGGAGAAATAAAAGCTTTCGATCAATATGTCGTTACTGTGTGTGGACCGGCCAGAAGAAGAGCAATTATCTCTGGAAATATGGTGGAGAAAAAAAAGTCTATGTTGGTCATGATGGCTGTCCTCACCTGACATAAACATTTTAATTCATATTTTCATCTGAAAATATATATTGCTGGTTATTTGGTTGGTTACGTTGTTTTATGGTTTGTAAGTTAGTTCAGGTTGGCGTTGTGTTGACATCATGGTTTCTGTTTGCAGATTGAAATCACTGGGTGACGGATCCAAAGTTTGGTCGTCCAGTGCACCAAATCTGGGCAAGTCCCCCAAACATGCGCCCATGACCGCCGGCTTCTCCAGCCTCAATGAAATGGGTGAGTCTTTACTTTTCATTGTTAGTTAGCTACGAGAATCAATCATCTTAACCCCTCTTTTATTTCCTCTCTTCAACAGAGGAGTGCTGTGAGTTTGAGGAGTCACCAGGGTCCCTGCTGCCCTCAGAGATCAGCAGTAACGGGGCCGCGGAGGACTCGGGGTCCCTTTGGGGCAGTAATGTTGGGAATACGAGCTCCTGTCAGGGGCCCGGCGGGCTGGGGACGGGGGTGAGCTACCAGGACTCGCTCCGTCGCTGCAGCCAGAGGAAGAAGAGCGACATGCTACTGTTGGGTTGTGCCTCTCTGCTTGCCTCTGTTGCCCTCGGACAAGACCTTCTGCAGCTGGGAAAACTACAGGTGAGAAAACAGAGAGAGAGGGAACATATAAGACATCTTTTCACTTATAAAACCTCAACAGAAGATCAACCAGGTCTCTACTAGCAGGTCAATATTTATTTTAAAGTACACCTTGAAGGGAAATTCCAGTAATTTTCAACCTCAGTGTTATGTAAGTTACATAATCAGTAGATTAATAGGCGAGCATACCAAGCGTGGTTTCACGATCGTACAGTCTCCTCATCTTGAACTAATAAAACACCTGTGGAGTGACATAAAACAGGATGCACCAGCTGCCAAATTATCTGTGCCATCCTGTCGAGTCAGCATGGGCCGAGGTCTGCGTGGATGGTTTCCAGCACCTGATTGATTTTGTGTTTTGAGGTTTTCCGTCTGTTGTCAAAGCAGACGAGGGTCTTATGAAAGAAGTCACAGTGTGTACATTAAGAGGATGAATTAAAGTATTGCTTTGGATCGGATGTAATCTCTGCTGTAGTTTCTTTTGACAAGGTGAGGAAGTGGTTAGCAAAGAAATACAGTAACATGATGTTTTTCAGCTGAATGCATTTTGAGTAAGACAGCAGCTCGATGGTCCGACAGCTTGTTGATGTGACCTGATTGTTGTTATCAGGTGCTCAAGGATGAGCAGGACCCCAGAGAGGAGCAGCGTAAGAAGAAGGACGGTCTCTTCCAGCGGACGGGACGTTTCCGTCGCAGCACCTCTCCACCCAGCCGAAACCTCTCCCTGTCCCTCTCCAGACATCACGACTCCACGCTCCCCTGCATGGACCCGTCTCCCTCTGTTACACTCCTCTCTTTGTCTTCTTTGTCTGACTGCAACTCCACCAAGTCCCTCCTTCCCTCCGACCCAGACGCCTCCCCCCTGACCCCGGTGACGGGGCTCAAAACCCCGGCGGCGCCCCCGGCTCCCGCCCTCAACCCGCTCTTGGACCTGCGGGCGGAGAGCTTTAAGAAGGAGCCCAACCAGTCGCTCACGCCCACACACGTGTCTGCAGCGATGGCCCTGAGCAGAGGACACAGACGGACCCCTTCGGACGGGGCGATGCGACCCAGAGCTCACACTCTTGGTCACTACAGGACGCCGTCAGATGGAAGCATGCCCATGCCTCCTCCACCGGGGGCCCCACGCATCACTACTAAAAAAGGTAAGGGACAAATAGTGTAGAACATGTCTTTTACAATGCTACAGGAAAACATGATTAAAGTTTAATGACTGTTCATCTAATATTTGTTTTGATATTTTACTGTTGTTATGTTTTATTTAACCTGGAAGTCTCTTTAGAAATATTATATCTTTAACCAGGAACACACTAGACACAATGGCAGCGTTTAATAGCTAATATAAAAGACACACAGTCTCTCATATTGTATTGTTGCTGATGAGTACAGGGACTGCTTTGAAATCGCTTCCCTTTTGGTGCATTCAAGACTTGTGGGAAACCACGCCGTACTGGATTGTTTAAGCTGGGGATGAGAGTTTTCTGGACTGAACTTTTAGCAACATTTTCTCGACATCTCTGAAACGCTTCATCAATATTGACACGTGTTTTATTGCGTTTATTGTAAGACTTTCCAAAATCAAAAGATATTAAGGTTACTTTCATGATGAAACATTTATTTTACATTCTTCTTGTCTTACTCAGGTACACAGGACACCCTGGACGTCCCCCGGCTACCCGACCCCTCCATCATCTTCCCGGTCCCCCATCGCCGTAAAGCCCCCGCTCCACCGATCCCTGACACGGTTCCTCACTTCCTCATCAGCCCTCTTGAGAGACCCAAGACGCTGGAGTTCGCCGCCCGGCCTCGGCCCACCCCGGCCAGGATAAGACCCGACCCCTGGAAGCTGGGCTCCCTCTCCCGGACCCTCAGCTCGTCGCCGGGCAGCAGCTGCGACAGCCCCCTCGGCTCGGGAGACAGCAGCGCCAGCACCGCACGACCGAGCCTGATGGACATGGACGTGGAGGGCCAGAGTTCGGACCAGACTGTCCCTCTGTGTGGACAGCGGAAGCGTGCCGCTCTGTGTGGACAGCAGTACTCATAGTGAAAAAACAGCCACGTCTACTTTTCTGCATTCAAACCTGTTCCAGGACTTTAGAGCTTGGGCTGAATGCCGACTGATGTCTGAGCCAAGCAAAGTAAACTCACTGAAGTTTGCAAAAAACATCCCACCACATGTCCCGTTTTAGGCACTTACTGGAAGCCATGTGTCCCTTTAGTGTCCTAATAAGGTGTGAAACCCTAACAGCAAGCCTTTCCCTGATAGTGCTCTCTAACCTGCACGGCACGGAGGGTCCTAGAGGCCTTTTAAAAGCCTTGTAGTGTGCTCACCCACCTACCTTACGCAACACTTCTCCCCCTCCTTGGAGGCCATCTCTCCCTGCTTCTTAGTGCCCCGTGACAAGGACACACACAACCTTCAAAAGCCAGTCAAGTACTTAAAAAGCCACGTTGCTATCTTTTCATTCCGACTCGTCTGCCTGTGCTTTTGCCCGTCTGTGTCGCTGCCCACTTTCTGCTTGCTTCTCTCACTCCAAAGAAAAAAAAATGTTCATTCACATTTCACCTGAAGCGGTTCAGGAGTGTTTCATTCACACAAAAAAACAGGAGCCGGACTGTTTAAAATTCTTAACAGAGAGTGTCTTTGTTCTTATTTTGCACGCCAATTGTTCTGCCGGAGCACAAACTTTTTCCATAAACTCTGCCTTCATCCTCACATGTGTCATCTCTCTGCACGGGATCATCGTCCTCTCCCCTCAAAGACCAAGACAGGAAAAAGCCTTTCATCTCACAGCACTGGTGGACCGGTTATATCCTTGTCTTGTACAGAAAACAAAACAAAACAGAGTTTATTTTCTCCCTCCTGGCACCATCCCAACCTGTTTGCAAAACGTTTTTCTATTGGTTTGGCAGACCAGGTGTGTTGCTCTCTGTGTGAATGTGTAGATATTACTGTACATGTGTGGAAGAACAAAATGGGTTAATTTGTTTGCGTGCTAATGCTTCTTCAGTGCATGTTGTTTTACGTGTGAATGGTTCGCTGAAAGACAAGTGCAGCGCTTCTTCAAAATATGATCTCATGTGTTTGTCTTTTACACTCTTTACATTCCTCACTCGCAGTCAGTAGCACTCTGTGTGGATCCCGCTCACGCCACTGGAATGGACACAAAATAAGTGAACACTGAGGGATAACGCTACCTGATTTCAACTGCTCTGCTCTGACCGGTTGTCTTCAACATCAGTGGCACTTTAGGAGCCATGCTGTGCATCTGGTCAGCCTCTCTGTGGACCAGTGGACTCTACTCACGGCTGACAAATCAACTTTTATCTTCGCACGGTGATCGAAAAGTCCGTCTTGGCCGCGGGTGGTATTTTACTTGACAGTGCAAATTTCTCTAAGTGAGTGTGTGTGCGTGTGAGGGTGAATATGCGTGTTTGTGTTACTATTTGTATGGGATGATGACAATCCCGTCAGAGTGGGCCTAAATCTCATTCTCCTCGTGTGGTTAAGAACACTGAGTATTTATTAAAGTTATTGTTATTATTGGAAAAGATTCGTTGTTATTACGATGCTCTTCCTGGGATATCTGTATATATTTGTTAATACAACAGGAAAAACCAAGTAAAAAACCTGCTTACTGAAACGTCCATGTTGTCTCCTGTCTCAACCTGTGACATTTCTGGTTTCAATGAGGAATAAGTGTGAAACGTGATGAATGAGGGACGAATAAAAAAAAGAACGATGCTTCAGTGTCAGTGCTGCATCTATGTTTCTATTCTATCCATTATACAATAGCATCTCAGCAGTGATGAAAGAAGTACTCAGAGAATTGCAAGAATGTTAAAACACTTTATTACAAGTGGAAGTACAGAAGAAAATGTTTTCTAAGCATCAACAGAAAAGTACTTGTTAGATTGTTAATACTGATGCATTCAGTATTGTACAGCTGTAGCAGGTCACATATGAGGTAGTTTCAAATATTTTATAAGCAGTTTGATAGTTTAGTCTGCTGGTTCCAAATCTAAGGGTCAGACCCCTCCACGGGTCACAACAGGAATCTAAAGGGGTCGTGAGATTATTTTACTTTTCTCTAATATTTAATAACATTTTCTTCTTCTTTGAGCCTTAAACATTTATCTAAATGAAACTCTGAGAGGTCAGAGGTGAAATCACTCTTTGATAACAACTGACAGACATCTGAAACACGACAGGTGGCCCCGACTTTATGACAAGAGGTTACTAGTCAAAATGTGTTGTGTATCACGAGTATGTTATTTAATGTAAAATCAAAATCTTACAAATAACCGGTGACATAAAAATAAAATATAAAAAATAATATAGAAATATAGTGGAGTAAGAAGGACAATATTTCCCTCTGAAATGTCGTGTGGTAGAAGTGTAACGTTAAGTCCAACAACTTGAGTTGATGTGGACGGAGTACTGATGGTTGTTACTAAACAAAGGCAGCTGCAGTAACAGACACAGTCCTCTAGGTGCCAGCACTGTGGCCTATGATGTCATATCATTTCCCGGTCTGCATTATATTCTCCATGTAATGAATTCCTATAGTTGCTCTCTGACTCTGCGGTTAGTCATAGGCCATGAAAGGCCGATGAAGGTGCTCTCGCGGCAGTTACAGAAGATTTTAAGATTAAATTTGAGACGTTAGAAAAATAAATCTTCTAAATGATATTTCACACTGTACCATGCAGTGTGCAGAGATGAAGCAAACACACACTCACACACAGTTGTGTCTGTCAGTGTGACCGCCAATCAAACACCCTTCCAGACGCCAGCCAGTTACCTAGCAACCCCTCTTCACTTCCATGGTGATGCTATTAAAAGCCACAACAAAGAAAAAAGCAGCAAAAAAGGGACGATGGGCCTGAAAATTAAGTGAGGAAGAGAAAGAGAAAGAGAGAGACACAGAGAGAGAGAGAGAGAGAGAGACAGAGAGAGAGAGAGAGAGACATGTTAAAGAGTCAGTGAAAAAGGAGTCAGCAGGCTGAACGTCGTCTGGTCGGTTCACACACACACACACACACACACACACACGGCTGGTGGGCAGAGGACAATGTGTGCTTTCTCTTTAACAGCAGATACTCTCACATGTTTATCACCTTCTCCATCTTCCCCTTCGTGGTTTTCCATCACATTTTCTGTTTTCATTCCCTTCTTTCCTTTTCTTTCCAGGAGCAATCATGTCACATTCTGAATATAAAAAGATTCGTGGGGCTGACAGTGTTAGTATCACTTCAGAGAGGAACAGAGGATGAGGTGAGATGACAGAGGAGAGACAGTTCTGTGTTCAATTTTTAAGTGAACAACTAACCAGATTGCCTGCCAGCTGGTGTGTCCTCAGATCTGCAGGACTCTCTTTGTCTGAACTAAATATTTAAACCACGAGTGAAGCTTTATTCTAAAATGATCTGAATGTTGAACCTGAACAAGAATAAAGTGTAAGATGTTTAAAGGGGAGTCAACTTACTCATCACAGATAGTACTACTCGAACCAGAGTTGTCAGTGTTTACCAGGAAGACTCTAACAGACAAGATGTTATTGGTTGCATTATGGGAAATGTAGGATGTTCGATTGTGAGCATCTATTATTTGTGACAATCGTATCACATGACTAAGGCCAACACGAAGTCCTAAAAGTGCTCAGACAAAAATGAACGGAGCAATTCTTCTTTCTAACTCCACACCTCCAGATTTGTTTTTTCATTTTTTAACTTGTAGATTTCGGCTCTGACGGACGCTGACTCAAGAGGCAATTTATAAGACTTTAAACAACTTGCAGTACTTCTGTTACACCTGCAAACAGACTTTGTTTACAACAACAACAACAACAACAACAACAACAATAATATTTCTCTGTTTGAAACTTTATTCATAATCTTCTTTTACAAGTCAATAGTGCATTCCCAGGCCAGCAGACCAGTAAAACCAGTGACGGAGGCCTGTGATGTTTGGATGTTGAAACGGGAAAAGGCCTCTTGGGAACGAGGCGGGACAAAAACGAAGTCCTAGTTTTGACGTCCCCAGCTTCGTGTCCTTCTGTTTCCCCTCCATCTCCACAAAACCAAACAGGATGGAGATCTGTGGCTTTGAGGAGCAGCTCTGCCCTCTGATACAAGTTCCTCAGAGTTCACTCCTGCTCTGCGTTTCTGTTCATCTTACCGTGCAGAAACAGAGGAGGCAGGTCAGAGGTCAATGCACAAACTCTGAGCCGGTTCTGGAGCCCTTGACGAAAAGGGACATCGACAGAAATACCAACAAGTACAGACGCAGTCACGGAGCAGCTCTGTGGAGCAGCTATAAATTCTCTTTTCTGTCTCTTGCTTTTCTTTTCCGCTGATAAAGTCGTTCAGTAAAGTAAAGCTCTTCACAACCATAAAACTTTCCATTTTTGTAATTTTTTTTTGTACATTTGTATCATATATTCACAAAAACTACTCTGACATTTGACAAACATTTACCTCAAATGACATCAAAGCAAAAGAGCAGAAATAACACAGACAGTTTGACTATTCCGTCTCTTTTTTTTCTTGTTGTGCTTTTTGTTACACTGATGCAGAGATGGTGTCTCTATCTCTATTTGCACAGATTACGCTCACAATAACAGCCTCGCCGGCAGCTCTGCCATTAAACAAGAACTGATCAGCCACGAATGAACTCGTTTCATGTGAAGCGAGTTGTCCCTAGAAGGTTGTAGTACACCTTGAGCTAGAATGACATAGCACAGCCAGACAATAACAAGATGGTGGACTGGTGCCATGGAGAGAGGACCATGGGAGGAGACCTGTCCCTGAGGGGCCCCTGAGTGAGTAGACTTAGCCCAGGCAGCCATGGAGACCGAGCCTTCAGGGGCCATTTCATCGCTGTTTGCTGATTTATTTCTTCTGGGATACCAAAGCCTCAACCCCAGAGCTGGGTGACCAAATGTTTTTGACTCGGTGTTTGTGAGAATTACACGTCATTTTCTTTATAATGATCTGTGCTTTACACCAGTGATTTGTTCTCTGAGAAATGAGTGACATCGAATTCATTTTCGATGTCACTTATTAGTTCGACACTTTGGGAATTACTTCACTTTTTGTCAGTTTTTGTACAGATTACACACAAAAATATAACTTGTAAATGAGTGAGCCTTAGAGGTGCTGGGAGCCGGATATTGTCACCTTTGGACAGAGCCAGGCTAGCTGTATCCCCCTGTTTCCAGTCTTTGTGCTAAGCTAAGCTAACCTGCTGCTGCCAAAGCTCCGTATAAGCGTATTTCCCAAAATGTCAAACTTTTACTTTAAGAAATATCTCATATCATGTACACTATAAGGCTAATAAAGCTAAGTGGACACCTCTGGCTGCACAGTTTAATCTTCTTTTAGCTTTTCCTGCTTTTAGAAGTCAAAATGTCTGCTGTTAAAAAGTCTAGTTGTGTCTCAAATCTCTATTTAGTGTCTGAAATCAGAGTGTGAAATGTATGCACTTTATAGTGATACCTGAAGTTATGACTTTAACGCTCAGATGTCCACATACTATTAGCCACATGATGTGACATAAACGTTTCCTGTTTGTAATGTTGTGTCTCTGCAGCCGGGGTGACTTGGAGCTGCAGCTGCTCTACTGGGGATGATGACGATGATGATGATGATGATGGCCTACTTCTCCTTCCACTGGAGCCCCTCTGTGCCATGCCGGTCCCCTCAACACATGGTGCCGTCTTTCCAGAGTCCCATTGACACACTTAAGTCCCTATTTACCTCCTAACGGGTCACTGGAAATATTGGGAGGATGAATCTTTTACAGCATCTTTCTTTGATTTCCTCTTCCACATCTTTTTGAATATCCTACGCTGTGGAATTACCTCTTATCTCTCACCTTGGCTGAGGCAGAAGGTGACCCTGATTTATTAAAGACCTCTTTTTTTTTTTTCAAGATTCATTTGATATCTGTTATGCTGCTGTGATCACAGACTGTTGCCACCTTCTGTGTTTGTAAAGGGCAGAATGGATAAACTAGGTATGAGAGAACAGTGTGGCAGCATGCCATGACAGGAAGCAATAGAGCAGATATAATCCCTATCCCATACATCTGAAGTGACTCTCTGGAGCCGCACATTACATGCAGGAGGTGGGCTTGCACACGGGAAAGAGGAGACTGGGTTTCATGGCGTCAGAGATAAAGGGAATTTCAGGTCATGCTTTCACAAATCGTCAATCCAACCATCTGCAGAACAGCGCAGGCAGATTTAAGCCTGTGGCAAAGCTATTATAAGAGCAATATTTGCATTATCAATGATTCAGCTTCACAAGTTACAAGAGAAGCAAATCATTTATGTATGTTTTGACAGCTAGCAATGGATATCCACAAACCATGTGATCAGCAGTGTTGTCTAATGCGAATGCTGTGTTTTTAAACCATTTTCAAACACAGGTAGGTGTTTTATCCATCAAAAAACTAAAGGAGGAAGAAATCTCAAATGGCACACTATAGTTGAAGTGCACTAAAGCTGAGTGCTGCAAGATGGCGGTCTAGACCGCCAGGACAGATGTGTGTGTGATTGTTTCCCCTGCACTAACGCTGCCCAGAGTCTCCTCGGTGTGTTATCGCTGTCTGGGAAGCTTGAGCGTTACCGATAAAAGGTTGCACCTCCGTTTAGAAATTTTAAAGTGTTTGTCGCTGTGAAACTTTAAAGTGGATTTCCATCTAGCCAACGACGGTTGATGGAACTCCGATCCTATTGGCTATTTTCCGTTGTGACATCATTAACGGGAGGATAAAGAGGGGCGGGAGGGGCTTCCACATTCTGAACGGCGAACACATGACCCAGGAGGGGCTTCGGACAATAGATTCAAGATACACCAGTTTCTACATTAGTACACCTGATGACAGCAAGAACCACTGGAGACACGGATGCTTTCAACAACAGATAACTACCGAGTATGATGGACACCAAAAGCAAATTAAAAACCCTAGTAACGGTTTACAAACACTTGAATTAGCCCTTGAATTGAAAACAAAAACAGTCCAGAAACTAAGTTATACGGCATCCAGGAGAGAAAAGTGAGACAGCAGAGTGATAGATTAAGCACAGAGGCGGGCGTTTTTCTCTACTTAATGAAAGGTTTCTCGTGCTAGACTGTCCCACAGTCTGCGGCCTGAGTAAGCCCTAGTGGGGAAGGATGTACAATCAAATTAGGCTATGGTCTTAATATGTGTCACACAAACACCCCTCACTATCACCTGCTTATGTTCCCACACACACACTCTGCCCCCCTCCCCTCCCAGTGGGGTCGAGCTGCCCGGCCCCGATATTCTCCTCGAGAGTTCGAAATAAGACGGAGCGAAGGCAGAGAGAAAAAGAGAGAGCAAGAGAGCAGAAACAAAATGCATTTTTTTTTGTCTTAAAAACATTTACTAAATCACGCAAATGTCCATTATTCATATGTATGTTTTGAAGCTCCTTTTTGTTCCACTACGATGACTGTTTCGTATGAGTATAATACAGCATTTTTTAATTTTCTTTTTAAGTTTGCTCGACTGTCTGCGTCTAGGGAGAGGAGCCACAGCACCTGAGGGAGAATAGAGGGAGAAGAAGAGGGAAGAGGAGGAAAAGGAGGTCGGGTTGCAGACAGAGCTTGATATGTCTCCCGTTTTTATCCATCGCTGGCGGGTGATTGGGTCTGTCTCTTCTGTCCGTGGGCTGTGCTGCTGTCAGAAGTCGATCGAGGACGAAAGAGGGAGGGTCGATGAGGGGTCAAAGGTTGAGGGGTCAGGAGGTTGAAGAGGTCGAGGGTTATCCCTGCGTCTCTTTAAAGCTCTCCCGTTCCCGCTGACCACCCCTGCTCATCTTCATCTCTGTCAGCTGGATGTACCGCAGCACGTTGGTGTCTGTGATGGAGAGAGAAGATGTAGTGGATGTGAGGCAGAAAGGTTGAAACAAAAAGAAGAGTCACATTATGGCTCAAGTGGCCAGAAGTAAAAGCGTCATTCATTTTCTAATATCTAAATATCTAATCTAACAGTTATAAATCTTAATTAGGGCCAACCACCAATGGCACAAGACTAAAAACTTCAACTACTAATCCCACGAAGCTCCGCAGTCCACCTGCACACGCATAAAACAGAGCTCCCAAATAACACAGCTTCATATTGCTTATCAAAACGGCCAAGATTGCTGACACGGACTGACACGAGGCTCATCAGAGAACAGATGAAAAACTCTGCAATACGTTACTTTGGTACACGGTCCTGCCAATGGTGCCGTGCTCCTCCACTAATGAAGACGTGTAGCAACAAACACAGCGAAGAATAAGACTAAAGAAAATATGGATCATGTTGGTTTCAGGTTATTCCAATACCAGGCTCTTTTTATAAGGACGAGAAAGAATTCAATATGTCTCAAGGATACACACAATGGGGACATATCGTAAAACTTGTATCTATGTATGATTTTGTTTGCCTGAAATTTAAACATAATTCATTAAAAAAAAATCTGAATTAGTTAATAGAATATAAATTATGTGGATTTTTTTTAATTGTATGAAATCAACTCCCCTCATGTTAGCAAACCCTGTTGATTCACAAAAGATCAAAATATCAAAGACATGACCTGATGGCCTTCAAAGGTAAGAACATGAACCATTGTTAATAATACATTATGGCTAATAATCACATCCCCTACAAGTACACTAATTCAACTTACAGTAAAATACTATATTTAATATATAATAATAAGAGTTCTGTTTCAACGTGCAGTAATACGACACTATCCACCTGTGCACCTTGTTATGAGGGTGTAGCTGAATACACAGTTTATCCTCACCTGAGGGTTCGCGGTTCTTGGCATCACGCAGGTAGCGTAGAGCACATTCGTAGTCCCCCAGGTGGTAGAAGGCGATGCCGGCTCGGTACATGGCCTTGAAGTGGTCTCTCTGGTGGCTTAGCACCTTCAGACAGTACTCCTTCACCCTCTCGTAGTTTACAAGCTCCGACTGCAACAGACACGCTGCAGGAAGGAAGAGGGGGAACAAGTTAGTGGTTTGTAAGTTAAAAGACTTCAATTAATTAGAATAATGATTAATTTAAAGCAGTTGCCTCGAGTCGCAGTCAGTGAAGATTAAACGACAATTATGTATGCAAAACAAAGATGGGGATATTCTGCAGACATCTCACTCTGCGCCTTTCAACAGAGCCACAGTGAAATGTAGCCTCCACGGTTCATTCCTCAGGATGGCAGTGACTATAGTGACTATAAATAGCTTAATACTAAATGTCTCCTGGCAAAGAGAAGTCAAAACGTTGTGCAAGCAGTTCGAGCCCTGGGGCAGGAGAGTAATGTCTCTACATGCTGCTGTTGAGCTCAACATTCAAAAAAAACAAGAATGGGAGAGAAATTTCATCTTGAGAATGATGGATTGAACACTGCGAATACCGACTTAGAGGATGTGTCGTAAGCAGCGAGGGCAGCAGAAGAGACGAGGAAAAGAAAAGCAGTCAAAGTGAGCGACAGGTACAGCAGAGGTCCTTTGGGATGAGATGTGAGCGAACCCTGAACTGACGGGCACGCCATGAAGTGCAATGTGGAGTGCACAGGAACAGGCCTTGTATCTCACTCTAGCTGAGATCAGCTTAGATCGGAATAACTTCATTAGTAAAGACTCACACACACTCACACACACACACACACACACACACAGCTTTTAGTCCACTAAAGCTTTTAAATGCCTGCTGATGGCTCAGATATCACTTTGCCCTCTGGTGATCACAAGCACTTGAGGTTTTGTTTCCACTCTACTTTTTCTTTTTCTTTTTTATGTCGGTGTCTTAATCTATCTGATGATACATCAAAAATAATTTTCCTTTATCCCTCCTTGTACAACCATTGTCATGTCGGACTCCTTTGTAACCCTCCCTCCCTCCATCCTCCCTCCCTCTCTCCCCTGAGTCTGCCCTTGACACACAGACAGTTCTGTGAATAACATGAGTCAGGCACTATTAGCTGAGAGGCAGGGCGAGTCGAGGGTGAGTCGAGGGAGGCAGGGATGAGGGACATGGCTGCAGTAGGAGAAGGAAGAGGAGGTTTATATGTGGGACGATAAAGGAGAAGAGGTGAGACCTGTGGGAGACTATAGGGTGAGGAGAAGGGGGGAGTGTGTGGTCCTCTACCTGTCATCCCCCCCTGAGCCTCAGAGACATACTGTAGACAGTCCACCCGTCAACAACTCAAGTGCAAAACACTAAATAATTCATCATGGACATCAGGGGGGCGGACCAATTCAATAACAATCAATGTGTTTTGGTATTTATTGAAGTTGGATATGTGTGGTAGTCTGGCGGTACGTTGTGTTTGCTGCATGTTTGTGTGTCGAGTCACCGCCTCAAGCCTCACAGCTGCACACATGAACTTTACTCGATCATATGCAGTTAAATTGGGGGGAGGTGCAACTCAATTTATAAAATTATAATGAAACTGTCTTTACCTCTACCTCTGTCCCCTTTTAAAATTTCACTCTTTATTATTATTCACAACATCAATCCAAGTACATAAAATATGACTCCATCAATTGTGTGAATAAACGTCAATTTAAACATTTGAACCCATCTACCTCTGTGAACCTATTGTTTCCTCCTAATAAGCCCTTTGACTTTCTTGTATGGACGTTGTTCTATAGAGTATTCAAAATGTAATAATGCCATCATTATTAGATGGATGTACACACACACACCCTCATAGAAAGAAGAACAAAAGCAGCGAGGTGGAAGCTGTTTCCCGTCTTCAGTGATCAGAAGCCAGCTCAGTAGAGTGGGACTCGCCTCAGACGCCCTCGAGCTCTCCTGCACACCTCTCTACCGACTCCACTCCTCTCTTTGTTTTCACAACCGTCCGGCTACGACATGACTACTCTCATCCCTCCGCACACCCATCCATCCATCAACGCCCTGCAGCAGTGGACAGCTTTCAGAGGATTCAGTTACAGTCCATAATGGCCTAATGGCTGACGCAGTTAGAGAGAGTTCACTGGCACTCACGCACACACACAAGACATTTAATACACGTACACACCAACAGTGCAAGCAGCAGATACACAATGACATGGGCAGGGTCACAAACACACACATACACACACAGTAACACAGGTGACCCAATCAAGTGGATCCTGGATATATGTAGACACAACCACACACAGAGACACACACACAGGTGACTTTAAATGAACTGTTTGATGCAAACAACAGCTAAAAAGATGACTGTACAGATATACACACACACACACACACACACACACACACACACACACACACACACACACACACACAAAGGCAGTGTGCACAAGTAATGACTGGCCGGCCGCACCCTTGCCCATTAGGCAGATGGATGGCATGCCAGAGGAAATGTAGAGTGTGGTGAGATGCATTAAGGGTGTGATAATGACAGGAACATCAGAGAAGGCTGGGCAGGGACATGGACAAACAGAGGTCCCATAAAGAACAATATCACTGGAGCCATGGTGTCCACTGAGAGACAGTAATGAGGGTCCCTGTTTGTGTCCTGTATTGTCATATTATCTACGTTCTAAATTCATTTGATATGTTACTGTTCATTCTGCGCAATAACGTTACATAACGTTGCTTTCAGAGCATTCAGAGAATGTTTGCGGCAGCTTTTATTTCTTTCAGTATTATAGCAGGAAGTGGTTTTCAGTACGTTCGCCACAGGTTGTTTTCAGGATTTTAGCGGGGATTTATTTTAAGAACGTTGGCGTGACGTTGTTTGGAGTAACACAGAGGGAGCATTATTTTCCATTTTCCATCATATCACTATTTTAGAAATAATTCTAATGTATCTCATCTTGTCGATGCTCACTGATGTGTGTAGAGGTCTGTATGGTTATACTGCAGAGGCCTGATGTTTTCAGTCGATTTCATTAAGGTGAACACAATGAACGGCCGCTCTGACGCAGCACTTCTCGCCGGCAGATTGCTCGTGCCTAAAAATGGCCTTGAATAAAGAACAGAACAATGAAAGCTGCAGCTCCTATGAGACAACAAAGAAATTAAACAAGCCCGTGTTATTTATATAATCTAATCATTTATCGGATAAACTGAAACATTTGAAGTGAAATTTATAATTAAGCAGACACAAATAATGTTGTGGATCAGGGCCTAGTGAAAAGGGAGAAAAGCAACCTTTTCAGAGTCATTAATCGAGAAAATAATTGTTAGTTGCAGACCAAAAAGGTTGGGAACCAAAACGTCCATCACAGCCATGCTGCTAAAGTATCACGAGAGATGAGAGAGGAGGAATAACGAGGTGTGACTGCATACAGAAGATCAGTGGTGCAGACAAGATTTGTCTTAATGAGGGCCTGGTTGTGAGGACAGGGACAGAAGAGTGAGCTGAGGCTGCGACACTGTGGGAGCGCACGTTTAGTGTCAGCGTCATGAGTGCAAGTATCTTTTTGTTCCCGAGGAACTTCTGTCTCACTGCCAGATTTAAGGAGAGGCAAAAAAATAGATGAAACACAGGAAGTTGGAAATAAATGGAACAGAAAAATGCATTTGAACGTCTCGAAACCCAGAAAGAAATGCCAAAGGGGCAGAGCAGCTGTCGACTCAAGTGTGAGTGTGTGAATGTGCGTTTCCGTTGCTTGAATGTCGAATGAGAGGTGCGGTGAGTGGGAGGGGTTAACACATGCTCAGGAACCCCACTGGTTTGCCTCAAGCATCATGTCTGAAAAAAACAGATCCTGCATTCGCTTTCATTTAGCTGACAGAGCGCCAGTGCCTGGAGGAATAAAAGAGAGAGAGAGAGAGAGAGAGAGAGAGAGAGAGAGAGAGAGGCAGGAAGCTGAAATAAGACAAGAGAGACAGGGGGTGAGGGAGGACAGAGATAGAGACAGCTCTGACAAAACAAAATCCAGACACGGCCGAGGGAAAATAATGACAGGATTTCTGCATGAAAAGTACAGAGGACAAGAGGAGGGAGACAAACAAAGGGCAGGAAGTAGAGAGAAAGAGCAGTTTTAACTCTGCATCCATCTCTCTCTCTCTCTACATCACCTTATCCACCCCTCTGAACCCCCTCCCCCCCTCCCCCTTTTTCCTCCTCTCCATCACACCAGGCGTGACACTGCGATCCGGCTAATTTAAAGCAAGCCGTGGCCCTGCTGATTAGTCTGCTGTCCACCACCTTGTAATTAGTTCTGTAGGATAGATAATGGCAGATGGAGAGACCCATTACTCTCACACAGACACACAGCACCTCCATCTCCCCACACTCGCGCTTCCACTTCTGCCCTCCTGCTCACCTCTCCTTTACAAATGTCACAGACCTGCGACAGATGTATTTACAGAGACCGTGCACAGTCATCGTCACAACAATCGCCATCGCAGAAACAATCTCCGAGCGAAATCTGATCCAACACGCTGACGTCACAGTTCTCAGACAGTGTAGCCGATCTCTCCAAGGCCCACTAAGAATAGCTCCAAATAAAACCTTTGGCGAATGCCTTCCTCTGTTATCGAGAGGGACAGAGAGACAGCTCTCAGCTCGCTTTATCACCAGGGCTCGTCTGCACTGACATGACACAGCATTTGCCCCACCTTCACCAGCCACCCACTGCATTGTCACCTCTGTAGGGGAGCAGATTTTGTTTATATTAAAAGAATAAGTATTTCAAGACCTCCTATATTTTTGGTTATAGTTCTGATTCACTGATCATCATCGGGGGTGTGGAATAATTAACAAAGGGAGGTTGGGAACACACGGAGCCAGGAGGGAGTCTTATCTTTGTTGCGACCAAACACAGATTTTTAATGTTATCTCGTCTCTTTGTTTGAGAATCCATCACAACTCTTACATCTGCTATCTTCTAGTTCCCCGACTTTCACACAAACACGTAGCTTGCATTTGAATCTGACATTGTTGATTGCATCGGCTGGTTTTTCATATCTGAGCGTATCTATTATTTTCACGGCGGCTGGATCTACACCAAAGGTGCATTA